GGAAGAGGCTAAGGACCTCAGAGAAATGGGTGCTATTAATATGTTTTCATGATTGTCGTCATATCTCTTCTGAATATTTAACAGCATCATTTTGTATCTGTCTGTCTGTATGTCTGTCTATGTATCTATCTGTTTATCTGTCTATCTGTGTGTGTGTGTGTTTTCCCTTCACCTCGTGTTCTCGATATCTTTAGCCTCTTACGTAATGTAGTTCGTGTTCAGAATGTTTCAAATACTTCCGTAGAACTCGAAGGCAAGTTGTTTCTCATCCTTCCTTCTTTCTTTCTTTTTTCTCTCTCTCTCTATCTCGCCTCTCTTTTTTTTAACCTAGATATCCTCTATGTTCTTGCAGTTATCTTTTGTTCTACCTCATCCCTCCTTCTTTTATCGTCTTCTCCTTCGTCACGTCTGGTGCAAGGAAAGATGGCCGCGTGTCTTTGTGTGTCATCGTCGCTAAAGCTGGCGCCATCTGTTGCCGGAAATTCACATTGCCGGAATCATCGCTGGCTCTCTGAAGACTTAGCGATGAGGAAGGGGGGAGGGGGGAGGGGGAGAGGAAAGGGAAGGGGGAGAAGGAGGAATGAAGGGGAGAAGGGAAGGAAGAAGGGAACGGGAGCAGAAGGAAGATATGAGGAGGGTAGAGAGGCGAGGGGAAGGGAGGAGGAAAGAGAGCAGAGGAAAAAAAGTGTCAGGATAAAAAAAGGGAAATGGGAAGGGAGGAGGAAGAGGAGGAGGAGGAGTGCATTCACGAGGAAATGGTACAACACATCTTCTCGTAAGCGGACTGGTTTTCGCCAGTGTTCACTCTCATCCGACACTGTGACAGGAGACGTGCGTTTCAGAGGCACTGCCTGGGAAAACCTATTAGCCTCTATATAACCGGAATTATCATCCTAATCAACGAAAAGAAAGAGAAAAAACTAAAATGAGCAATTAGATAAAAAAATAATAAAAGTTATTCAAGAAAATAAGTGTCGAAACCAAAGTGTAAAAGTGAACCGAAATGAACGCCATGCAGATATCAAGAATCTCAGTAGGTCACGAAAATGTGTGAGTTCATAGCGAGAGACAGACAGAGAGAGAGAGAGAGAGAGAAAGAGAGCGAGAGAGAGAAAGAGAGAGAGAGAGAGAGAGAAGACTTCATGCACTGGGGACGTCGACTTCAGGAGGAGGAACACTGAAGCCACCTCCTCGCTTGAAGACCCGTGTATAGAGGTCGTCTTGCTCTCGTCCTTGACTCATCTCTCATCCATCCTGGGATAATCGGCCCTCGAACCTCGGTCGTCCTCCTCCTCCTCCTCCTCCTCCTCCTCCTCGGAAGATATCGAAGACTGTGCTGTCGCCTCGAGTGTTTTCGGTGCGGCGTGGAGCTGAGGACCTCAAGACCTAAAGACCCAAAGACCGAAATACTCTCCTGCTAACCATGACTAAGGGGGATGATTCTCCTGTCGCTGGTAACAATGAGTGTTGTTGGCCTTCCTGTGTGCGTGAGTGGATATGTAAGCTCTGTAATAAGTGCATAGGTATTTTGTACATTTAAACAAGTGGGTGAAAGTACGGAAGACGATTTAGATAGGTTTAGCTTGTTTAATAATTATGATAATTTACGTACAGACAGAGAGAGGCGGCAGGTAACTTCTTTGGTGGACTGACATGTGCATTAGATAAATATGTATATATGTGTGTTCAGTTGTTTATTTGTTCATTTATTTTTGTATGTATGCATGCGTGTATGCGTATAAATAACATTTATGTTTAGGCAGATACGGATATGAAGCATTTTGCTAAAGGTTCTAGTATTTATTTTTGGGGAACTATTTTGCATTACCAAGTGTATTTAATTACGGCGTTTACTCTTGTTTTTGATAGCGTTGTATCCTTTCGCCGAGGGCATGTAAGGCGTGACGTAGTTGTGACGTCTTTAAAGCCTTTAAATCTTTTTCACTCCCTTCCCTTCCCTTCTTCTCTTGCATTTATGAATATATATATACACATATGAAATTTAGTTATGCATGTTTTACGATACTATACTGACTACTACCCGAGGCTCACCATTATCATGCCGTACACTTGAAAACGCTCATGGGTGGTAGAACAACAATCACGGTCGTTTGCGTGAACCACCCTACCATTCTCAGCATTAATTTCCCATTTAGCTGGCACTTAAGAGACGCAAAACATCTATAACTGGATTTCACACACGCACGCACACGCACGCACGCACGCACCCACCCACACACACACACGCGCGCGCGCGCGCGCATACACACGCACACGTACACGCACACAGACATACACACACATGTGTATGTATATATACATATTGTGCATGATTCTTGAATGGAAGCATCCTCCTCTACGGCCCTCTCGCTCCAGCACGCCAGCATCCCGAACGATCGAGACATCACCTCTCTCTCACTTCTCTTCTTTCTCTTCTCTTCTCTTCTTTTCTCTTTTCTCTCTCTCTCACTCTTCTCTATCTCTTTGACTCTTCTCTATCTCTCCCTCTCCATCTCCATCTATATCTCCCTCTCTCTCTCTCTCTCTCTCTCTCTCTCTCTCTCTCTCTCTCTCTCTCTCTCTCTCTCTCTCTCTCTCTCTCTCTCTCTCTCTCTCCCTCTCTCATTCCCTCTCTCTCTCCCTCTCTCTCTCTCTCCCTCTCTCCCTCTCTCCCTCTCTCTCTCTCTCTTTCCGTCTTTCTTGCTTTTCGTCGTCCGTGATTATCCAAGTGGTCTTACCCCTTCTTTCTGACCCCACTGTTCGAGGCTCTGTCAAACCCCTTCCTCTACACACACACACAAACACACACACACACACACACACACACACACACACACACACACACACACACACACACACACACACACACACACACACACATACATACACACAGCTTCACCACCTCATCCATACTCAAAAAAAAAAAAAAAAAAAACTTAAATTAAAGAATATATTAAACAACCGATATATGAAACGAAAACAAACCTTCAGAAAATCGTCGGCAATGTAAAAAAAAAAAAAAAAAAAAGAATCATGCACAGATTTCTTTCCCTTTTTTTTAAGAGTTCATGCACGTTCACATCCGTCCACCCACCCCCCCACCCGCCACCACCATCCTATCCCTTTAGCCTCCCCCCCCACCCACCCACCCCATTTAGTCTCCCTTCCCCCCCCCCCTCCTTATTGCCCCCCCTCCCTACCTTCACCCTCCCCCCTATCCCCCCCCCCCTATCCTCATTGTTCCCCGTTGCGATGAGAGCCGTCGGGTTGCCTCTCCTCTGCATGACTCCGATATACGTGCTCCTGTATTGATCATTCTTCACCTCACAAACGCACGGTCTCGGATGCTGGGTAGTGTGTGTGGGGGGTGGGGGGGGGGGGTTGAGTGTGGGGGGGGGTGAGTGTGTGGGGGGGGGGTGAGTGTGGGGGGGATAGGGGGTGTGGGAGGGTGAGTGTGTGGGGGGGGGGAGGGGGCTGAGTATGTGTGTGTGGGGGGTGTGTGTATGGGTGTATGGGATGAGTATGTGTGTGTGTGTTTCTGTTTCTGTGAGGGGGGTGGGTGTAGGGGTGAGTGTGTTTGTACGTGTGTGACGCGCTGTTGTTGTAATTGAAGCGACTGGTGGGGGTGGGTTAGGTTGTGGCTGGGTTGCTGGGGTTGCGGTTGTCGGTTAGATGGAAATCTTGGTTGGAGCGCCGATCTCGCGGTTAAAGTGGTTGTTGTGGGTAAGTTGCTGAGGCTGTGATTCCTGTGGTTGAATTGTTGCGGTTTTGATTGGAGTTGGTTGTGGTGAGTGGGTTGCTAATGTTGTTTGGAGGGGATGTTGTGATTCGAGTGTTTGTAGAGAGAGTGTTGTGTTTCGAGAAGTTATAGTTGGAGTGTAGTGTAGCCTGGGTGTATATTGTGACTGATATACATGACTATTATGGTTGCAGTAGTTAAATAGCTGCCGTGGTGGTTGAAATGTTTTTATTACAGTCGTGTTGTAGTAGTATTTTTTTTTTTCTTTTCTTTTTATAAGGTTGAGTGGCTTTGTGGTTGTTACTGGTTATAGTCAGGATGATACTCCTAATGCTGGATATTTTACAGTATTTGCTTTGTTTGGATAGTACAGATGGGTAATTGTAATGGTCGTTACAGTTATTGTAGTTTGCTTTAAAAAAATAAATGAATAAAAGTAGAATAAAAATCAAGAGCATCTTGATAGAAGCAAAGGCGGATATAGAAGGTATTAATGGGAGGAAGGGGAAATAAGGAGTCATGCGACGCTACTGGTAATTAAAAAAATATATATTGAAAAGTCTTTTTAATGCCGAAGGTCACTTTTTTATGCTTCGATAATTATGGAAGGTCCTCAGAATTCCAAGCGGGAAAAACAACGTGTCACCTTTTCTCTTTAGGATTATTAGTGATTTCATTCGCAGTATCATTCATACATATATTTAATACATACATATATGTAATACATATATACATAGGTATATGTAATACATACATATATGTAATACATACATGCATACGTATATGTAATACATACATATGTATATGAAATACATACATAAATGTAATACATACTGGCATACATACGTACATGCACAAAACACACGCATACACAAAAATATGTATGTATGTATATGTATGTATATATAATGAATGCTCCTCTACTGTGGTGATACAATGGTAGAAAACCCCACAAAGCCTAAATTTATTTATTGAAAATGAGACATTAGTTTCATCTTCACCTGAAGATGAAATCCAGGTTTCGACATTGTCTCATTTTCAGTATTTTTTTTTTTTTTTTTTTTTTTTTTGCGTTGTGCATTGTTCTACTATATATATACAAAAAATACATATGAATGTGTGTATGTGCATATGTATTAACTATCATTGCTAATTGTAAGGACAGTACTCACAACAATTACCATTATCATCATCATCGCCTTCATAAAAAAATGAGAACAAACAAGAATCCAGACTCACCCGCTGCCTTTTCCCTCCACAGATGAGACGTATACGAAAGTGGCACTGGAGACTCTGGAGGAGCTGGACTGGTGCCTGGACCAGCTGGAAACAATACAGACGCATCGCTCCGTGTCTGACATGGCGTCCTCCAAGGTAAGTTGGTGGTTCCGTTTTCGTATTCGATTTTTTTTTTTTTTTTTTTTTTTTTTTGAGGGGGGGTGAGAGGGGAGGAGGGTGAATGGTGAGAAGGTACTGTACTTGTAACTGTTTTTTTTTGTTTTTGTTTTTTGGGGGGGAGGGTTTCCTATATTTTTAAGGGGTAATGTGTAACAGTTTTATTATTATTATTATTGTTAGGAGAAAAAATGGATCGCGCTGGAATTACAGAGAATTGAATGAAATAGACGTCTTTTATTTGTTTCATGATTTTAGACTGGGAACGATATTCCCTTATTTTTCGAAGTTTTGAAGAAAGTAGAAAGCGAGATAAGTGCATATGTGTGAAGAAAAAAGCGTACATATGAATATATCTATAATTGCCTATTCACTTTATTTCACCTATATTCCTGTCCATTATATTTAAGTGGAACGACGAAGTAATTGAAAAAAAAAAAAAACAATACATAAACAGTTGGAAAATTTCTTAAAGGAAGAGGGTGGGGGGGGAGGGGGAGATACCTGGAGAAGCATTGGATTTTCATGGACTGGCCTGGGGGGGTGGGGATGGGAAGGGGGAGGGGGGAGGTTCGTATGTTACTCCATTGTCAAGGGGAAGCTGAGAGAGAGAGAAAGAAAAAAATCTTTCATTTTCTCTTGTTTCAGTTTGTAAGATACCTTTCTTTATCGACCGTTTGAAGTATTTAACATTTATACACATACTTTGATAGATGTGCGTGTATGTGTGTCAAGGTTTGTGCATGCGTTGAACTAGGCCAACTGTTTGTTTACGAGTCACTGTATATGGCTGCGTTTCCTTCCTTGTGCATGCGTGCTTTCGTACGTATGCATGTGCGTTTGCGTGCGTCCGTGTTTGCGTGTGTGAGTATGTGTGGAGGGAAAAAAATCCCAGCAGGTCTCAGATATCGACCTTTGCAATGGCATCAAAGGAACTCTACGGATTTTAATGCGGCGTTGCCAAACTTCGCATTCGCTATCTCAGAGGGAAACGTGGTAGTGCTGCGTGGGCGGTCGACTGCGCTGTCAGAGGGGGAGGCAGGCGGCCAGGTACGAGCTGGTGGCACTGTTAGAGCAGACACAGTGCCATCACAGTGCCACCAGTGTCCCCCCTCCTAGCCATCCCGACCCCCTCCGGCCCTCCTCATCCCGCAGGTGGACCTCGAAAGGAGGAAGAGGAGCCCGCTGTAGACGGGAGCTGTCGGACATTGAACTATAGCCCGAGCTCGTGCTGTGTCGGGATCTTTTAAAGTTGTAGGACACGAGCGGACTCGGTTACTCTCCGCCCTGTCCCTCCTCCTCCTCTTCTTCCTCTTCTTATTCTTATTCTCCTTCTTCATCTGCCTTGTCGTCGTTACTATCGTCATCTTTATCATTTTTATTATCATTATCATTTTCATCTTCATCATCATTATATTAATATTATTCTAATACCTTCTTCCTCGTCTTTTTCCTTTTCTTTCTCTTCCTCTTTATCCCTTTTTCTCTCTCTCTCTCCCCCTCCGCCCTCCCTTCCTCCTCCTCTTCCTCTTCCATTTCCTCCTTCTTCTCGTCTCATCCTCCTCATTCTTTCCAACCTCACCTTCCTTCCGTACCTCGTCCTCATTTTCTTCCTTTCCATTCTACTCTCCTCTTCCTCTTCCTCCAACACATCTTCGACGTCGTTCTCGTCTTTCTCTCTCCTCATCATCATCATCATTATCATTATCATTATCATTATCATCATTATCATCATCATAATCATCACTATCATTATTATCATCATCACTATCATTATTATCATCATCATCATCACCACCATCATTATTATCACCATCACCCTACTCTTCCTACTCACCCTACTCTGCCTCCTCCTCCTCCTCCTCCTCCTCCTCCTCCTCCTCCTCCTCCCCCTCCTTCTCCTCCTCCTCCCCCTCCTTCTCCTCCTCCTCCCCCTCCTTCTCCTCCTCCTCCTCCTATTCCTGCCTCTCCTCCTCCTCTCCTCCTCCTCCCCTTCCTCCCCCTCCTCCTCCTCCTCCTCCTCCTCCTCCTCCTAAGCGATGTTGAGATGAAGAGACAGACGAGATGAGGGATGAATGGATGCTTAAAGTCTAGTTTCATCTCTATTTCTAGTTTATCAAAATCATTTTCATTGAGTGATTTAGAGATGCTTTTCGGGATAATAACTATACTGAGGCTGAGAGTTAATGGTTGAGATGAGGATGCGATGTTGTCTCACCAGTGATGCTGACGATGATTATGATGATAGTGGTAATGGTGATGATTGTTTTGGTGATGATTATGATGATGATGATTTCGAAAAACTATTTTTTTATCAAAGGGACTTGATGGTAATTATTATCACTTTATGATGATGATGATAATCCTTGGAAAGAAATATGGAGATATATCCAAATAAAGATTAGTTACTTTTATATAGTGTACTCTTCTAATCCTATCAGTATGATAAAAATGAATATTTCATTGATGATCAACTGGGCTTGTGTATGATTTGTGCATAAGTACCAGTTGCGTGTCCATTGCAGGGCCATTTCTAAACAAGATATCATGTACTGTTCTTCATTTTACATCATTTGTTCTTTATTTCACATCTTTCACAATGAAATCTGTTACGTTAATTGACAAAAATATATTATTTAGGGATATTAGAAAAAATGGCGTTATGAGGCTCTTATAAATTGGTAATTTCTTTTATTCATTTACTTTTTAAAGGAATGTTTTGGTTTCTAATTATATCAGTTCGTTTTTTTTAGTGTTGATGTTGTAAATATCATTATTATTAAAATATCAATAGTTTTAACCATTGATTGATGAGTTAACTATCTGTCATTGTTATAGTTTATCATTATTATCACCATCAGCTGCGCTATTTCTGATTATCATTTCTTCATTGTTACTATCATTATCTGTTATTATTATATTATTGTTATTAGCATTGTTATATTATTGTTATTATTGATATTATATTATTGTTATTATTGATATTATATTATTGTTATTATTATTGTAATTGTTATTATTATCATTATCATTATTATTAGCAGTAGTGTTATTATTATTATTTTTATTATTATTATTTTTATTATTATTATTATTATTATTATTATTATTATTATTATTATTATTATCATTGTTATTATTATTATCTCTATTGTTGTTGCACTATTATCAGTATTGTCATTACTATTATTATCATTATTGTTATTATTATTATTATTATTATTATTATCATTACTATTATTATCATTATTATCATGTCGTTGCTGTTATTGTTATTATTATTAGCATTATTATCATCATCATCATCATCATTATTATCATCACCACCATCACCCTACTCTTCCTCCTCCTCCTCCCCCTCCCCCTCCCCCTCCTCTTCCCCCTCTTCTTCCCCCTCCTCCTCCTAGTTCCCCTCTTCTCCTTTCCCTCCCTCTCCTTTTCCTCCGCCTCCCCCTCAACCTCCTCCTCCTCCTTCCCCCTCCTCCTCCTCCTCCTACTCCTCCTTCTCTTCCTCCTCCTCCTTCTCTTCCTCCTCCTCCTTCTCTTCCTCCTCCTCCTTCTCTTCCTCCTCCTCCCTTCTCTTCCTCCTCCTCCTCCCTCCCCTTCCTCCTCCTCCCTCCCCCTCCTCCTCCTCCTCCTCCTCCTCCTCCTCCTCCTCCTCCCCCTCCTACTCCTCCTAATCCCTCCCCCTCCTTTTCCTCCGCCTCCCCCTCAACCTCCTCCTCCCTCCCCTTCCCTCCATCCCTCCTCCTCCCTCCCATTCCTCTTCTTCCTCCCTCCCCCTCCCTCCCCCTTCCTCCTCCTCCTCCTCCTCGTCGTCCTCCTCCTCCTCCTCCTCCTCCTCCTCCTCCTCCTCCTCCTCCTCCTCCTCCCTCCTCCTCCTCCTCCCTCCTCCTCCCCCTCCTCCTCCTTCCCCCTCCTCCTCCTTCCCCCTCCTCCTCCTTCTCCTCCTCCACCTCCTCCCTCCTCCTCCCTCCTCCTCCTCCTCCTCCCTTTCCCTCCTTAACCGTGCCTTCATTTCATCGTGTAGCGAGCATGCACTCAGTGTAGCCGGTGTAGATTATTACCCCTTTAATTACATAGAGTGCTGGCAGGTGAGGAGGAATGGGAGGGGGGAGAGAGGGGAGGGGGAAGAGAGGGAGAGGGGAGAAGGGAAGAGGGGGGGAGGGGAGAGGTGGAGGGAGAGGAGGAGGGGAGGAGAGAGGGAAAGCGAGGGGGAAGACATGGAGGGGAGGGAGAGAGGTGGAGGGAGAGGTGGAAGGGGGGGAGAGGGAAGAGTGGAGGGAGGGAGAGAGGTGGAGGGAGAGGAGGAAGGGGAAGAGAGGCGGAGGGAGGGGAGGGAGGGGAGTGGAGGGGAGCGGCGGGAGAGATTGATCTTTCCCAAGGTGGCAATCTTTCACAAGTTTTATGCTGAGTTGGGAGCACCTGGAGATTTTATTTTATTTTCATTTGTTTTGTTTATGTATTAAATCATTTCACTTGGCCTTTGTTGCACTAAAGGGAATATTTCATGAGACTTTTTGAACATATGGCGCACGCACAAATGCGCGCATGCACACGCACACATATGTGTGAGTGTTTGTGTGTGTGTGTAATATATATATGTATGTGTGTGTGTATATATATATATGTATGAATATATATGTATGTATGTATATATATATATATATATATATATATATATATATATATATATATATATATATATATATTTGTACATATATACACACATCTATTTAGATATACACATATATATAGTAGAAAAAAACACAAAGCGCAAACTAGATCTACTGATAAAGAGACAACAGTTTCAAAATTCACCTGGATTCCATCTTCAGTCCAGATGGATTTCGAAACTGTTGTCTCATTATCAATAAATCTAGTTTGTGCATTATAAGTTCCTCTACCATAGTATTAACACTGGAGAGTAGTTTACCATTCATACACATATGTGTACATGTATATATATGTATGTGTGT